ATGAAAGAGGAAATCTGAACTTCGCTCCTCCGATCGTGCAGACCTACAACAGTCAAAATCTTAGACATCTTTCTTTACTTTGTTTCTATCAAGGAACAAGAACTAGAATCTTTCATAGAAGCGAAAACAAAAATTAAAGTCGAAAGAGCTATTTAATTGCTTGCGTTAAGCTACTTTGTCGACAGAATCATGCGAGTTTCTTGGTAGAGACTTAGAATTAGAAAAATACCGTCTTTAGAATCCTCTCAGAGCTACTAGTCGAGTGATGCCAGGTCCATCACAAAATGAACATCTCGAAACAAAATTCCACGGTTAGCGATATCTTTAACTTATACTTTTCTTCACATTTCAACCAGCGGTACAACTCACTCAGACTTTTTTAAAATAACCAAACATATCTATTGCAATATGCACAAAATTAACGGAAAGATACTAGTAAAATATACTTTCAAGAATTAATTCTAATTCTTCATTGCCAGAATTTCAAAAACGATGTGTCAATGATAGAAAAATAGGCTGTAGGGCTTTTTCGGTGTGCGGCATTCCTCGTTATATGCAAGTGTATATGCAAGTGTCGTTATATGCAAGTGTAGTTTCCTGTAATAAAAAAAAAATTAGTTCGTTGTAAACTGGTGATGTGATCGCTTAAGCATTCTTGGTTAAAATTCTTTTACGCTCACCAGCTTTATATTTCCTTAATTTTACCGGAAATGGAGCTGTTTATTCGCAGGGTAAGCAGATCAAGACCACAATAATGGAAAAAGAAAATGTACTCGCATAAATTTCTCTTAATTTTTGTTAAGTAATTTTCGAAGAGGCCATTAATGCCTATTCATAATTTATACCAACCTTCAATATTTCAAGTATAACAAGGCAAATTAAATAATCTCAGAAAAGATAAGATTCTAAATTTTAATTGAAGCGAAGGGACATTTTGGTTTGTAGGGAATTATTAAAGTGAAGCCCTTTGTTCCAAACCATTTCAACCGAACCTGGAACAACGGCGATGATAGGGAAGACCTTCAACCTGTTGAGGAAAATACCAAAGCTGGTATCCCGTAAGGAACTGACGGACACGGTATCGTCAGATTACCGGCCCCTCAGGAGGAACTAACCAATACATGGCCGTCGTATTACCGACCTCACACGGAGAAGAAACGAACACAAGAGTGTCCGAATAGCGACCTTTCACGAAGTTCGGACGAACGCAGTACTGTCCGATAACCAAAATCAAAGATGTTCCCTGTAATTATCGCTTATGAAAAATAAGCAAAAAGATCTTATTGAATAACCTTGAAACAAGACCGAACTCTAACTTTAAACAATTATCGAGCAAGTATTCATTATTACGCGGTGTTTATGTACGCGCGCTTAGAAGGTGAATAAAAAAAAAATTATTTAAACAAAGACCTCGCTTGTGATTCGTTAGGAAAAATTCTTGAACTTAGTTCTGAACATTTCGGTTCTTTTGGTCAAACAGCTAATACAACGAGACACCAAGATATTCATTGTTATTGCCTTAAATTTGATCCTACTTAACTTAATCGAAAAGTACAGCCTTCGTTATATGCGACTGACCCTTTAAATACTGATAACTTCGTGTTATCACGAACAGCACATTCAGAAAACAATATCCATAACACACTATCCATAATTGTTCCACCGGGAAAACGATATGTGTACTAACCAACGCAATAATATTTAGCTCAAAAGGTTATGCAGATCATACCACCTTTCAATGCAAAGAGCAGTAGATTTGTGCACCGAACTATCCTCCTTTCAATAAAGCGATTAAGTTTCTGAAGAAACAGTGGTGCTGCGTCAGTGGAGTAGTATAACAGAATAATTTGGTTTTTTCAACTGAGTTGATAAAGTAAACTAGCCCACCATAAAGAGTTTCAAAGCTGACGTTTCGAGAGTCAACCCTTCGTCAGAGCGACGAAGGGCTAACGCTCAATACGATGGCACATCCCTTATAAGTCAGTCGATGGTGGGGAGGGGATCTTTTACTACACACTTGTTTTGTGCGTGGGTGGTTCCTCGAAACCAACGCGAATAAGGTAGCTCATGGGTCGCAATGTTCGTATTAACTTTAACCTTTTCTTCCCTCACCCCTTTTCTTCTCTAAGTTCAAACTTAATGTTCCACCTACAAAACATTTTATGCTATTCATTATACCTTTACCTTATGCAAAAATAAAAACATCTGCAAGAGTAAATTTTCTAATTCCTACAATTCAGATTAAGGGGTTAGTAAAACCTGAAGGTTGTACGTATTTTAACGTAAAGATTAAACAAAGCGGTCAAATTAACCACCTTGATTTGAAACAGAATTGAGGAAAATATAAATTGCAACAGCCGACTGTTACACAAACATCACTCCTAAAAGAGATCATCATGAAATTCATCTCTAAGGGCCTGATTACATGAGCCGGGCTGGCCCGGTTAACCGGGCTGATTTCTTTTGTTTTGGTGTTCGCCAAAGCGTGAAAACAAAAGAAATCAGCCCGGCTAACCGGGCCAGCTCGGCTCA